AAGAAAAGAAAGAACAAAGATCAGAGCAGAACTATATGAAACTGAAACAAAAAAAAAGATGTAAAAGACAATTGAAACAAAAAGCTGGTTCTTCGAAAAGATAAACAAAATCTCCCCCTTTGTCAACATGTACTATGGACTAAATAAATAAAACTAGATACTTACATTAGAAAAAAAAAAAGATAAACAAAATCGATAGCCCATTAGTGAGATTAACCAAGAAAAGAGAGAAGATCCAAGTGAGTGCAATTAGAAATCAAACAGGAGACATTACAACTGATACCACAGAAATATAAAAGATCATTCAAGGCTACTATGAACACACAAACTAGAAAACCTAGAGGAGACAAATATCTCCTGGAATTATAAAAGCCTCCTAGATTAAACCAGGAAGAAATAAAAACTCTGAACAGACCAATAACAAGTAGCAACATTGAAATAGTAATGAAAAATTGCCAACAAAAGAAAATCCAGGACCAGATAGATTCACAGTTGAATTCTATCAGACATTCGAACATGAATTGGTATCAATCCTACTGAAACTTTTCCTGAAGAGGGAATCCTCTCTAAATCATTTTATTAAGCCAATACCAAAACCAAGAAAGGACATAACAAAAAAGGAAAATGACAGACCAATATCCCTGATGAACACAGATGCAAAAATCCTCAACAAAATACTAGCTAACTGAATCCAACAGCACATCAAAAAGATATGATCGAGTGGGTTTCATACCAGGGATGCAGGGATGGTCTAACATAAGCAAGTCAGTCAATGTGATTTCGCACATAAACAGAATTAAAAACAAAAATCATATGATCATCTCCATATTTGCAGAAAAATCATTTGACAAAATCCAGCATCGCTTTGTGATTAAAACCTTCAGCAACATTGCGAAATTGGTATAGAAGAGACATACCTTAAGGCAATAAAAGCCATCTTTGACAAACCCATAGCCAACATTGTACTGAACAGGGAAAAGTTGGAAGCATTCCCCCTGAGAACTGGAACAAGGCAAGGATGTCCATTTTCACCACTTCTATTCAACGTAGTACTGAAAGTTCTAGCCTCAGCAATCAGACAAGAGAAAGAAACAAAGGACATCCAAATCTGTAAGAGGAAGTCAAACCATGCTGTTCACTGATTATATGATCATATACCTAGAAAACCCTAAAAACTCATCCAAAAACTTCTAGATCTGATAAATTCAGTAAAGTTTTAGAATACAAAATCAATGTACACAAATTAGCACTGCTATAAACCAACAGTGACCAAGCTGAGAATCAAATCAATAACTCAACCTCTTTTAAAACAGCTGCAAAAGACAAAAAACAAACACCTAACACAAGGAGGTGAAAGATCTCTCTACAAGGAAAATTATAAAACACTGCTGAAAGAAATCATAGATGACATGAACAAATGGAAACACACCTTAGGCTCATGGATGGGAAGAATTAATATTGTGAAAAATGACCATATTGCCAAAAGCAATTTATAAATCCAATGCAATTTTCACCCAAATATCATCATTATTCTTCACAGAACTAAAAAAAAAAAACAAACCACTCAAAATTCACATGGAACCAAAAAAGAGCCCATGTAGCCAAAGCCAGACTAAGTAAAAAGAACAAATCTGGAGGCATCACATTACCCAACTTCAAACTATACTACAAGGCTACAGTTACCAGAACAGCATAGTACTAGTATAAAAATAGGCATGTAGATCAATGAAACATAATAGAGACCCATACATAAAGCCAAATACTTACAGCCAACTGATCTTCTACAAAGCAAACAAAAACATACAATGGGGAAAGGAAGCTGGATCCTCATCTCTCACCTTATACATAAATCAACTCAAGATGGACCAAGGACTTAAATCTAAGATCTGAAACCATAAAATTCTAAAAGATAACATTGGGAAACCTCTTCCAGATTTGGCTTAGGCAAAGAGTTCATGACCAAGAACCCAAAAGCAAATGCCAACAAAAACAAAGATAATATTATCTGGGAAATGCAAATCAAAACCACAATAACATACCCCTTTACTCCTGCAAGAATGGCCATAATTTAGAAATAAAAAAATAATGAATGTTCATGTAGATGTGAAAATACTTTTACACTGCTGGTGGGAATGTGGAGATTCCTTCAACAATTAAAATTAGGGCCAGATGCAGTGGTTCACACCTGTAATCCCAGTACTTTGGGAGGCTGAGGTGGGTGGATCATGAGGTCAGAAGTTCAAGACCAGCCTCACCAAGATGGTGAAACACCATCTCTAGTAAAAACTACAAAAATTAGCTGGGTATGGTGGCAGGCACCTGTAATCCCAGCTACTCAGAAGGCTGAGACAGAATAGCTTGAACTGTGACAGCAGAGGTTGCAGTGAGCTGAGACCACGCCACTGCACTCCAGCCTGGGTGACAGAGTGAGACTACGTCTCAAAAAAACACTAAAATTAGAACTACCATTTGATCCAGCAATCCCACTACTGTGTATTTATTCAGAGGAAAAGAAGTCATTATAAAAGAAAGACACTTGCACATGCATGTTTACAGCACAATTCATAAGTGCAAAAATATGGAACCAGTCTAAATGACCATCAACCAAGTAGATAAAGAAAATGTGGTACATATATGTACCATGGAATACTACTCAGCCATAAAAAGAAATGAAATAATGGCATTTGCAGCAAACTTGATAGAGTTGGAGACCATTATTCTAAGTGATGAAGTAACTCAGGAATGGAAAACCAAGCCTTTCATGTTCTCACTTGTAAGTGGGAACTAAGCTATGTGGGTGCGAAGGCCTAAGAATGATACAATGGACTTTGGGGACTTGGAGAAAATGGTGGGTGATGGGTGAGGGATAAAAGACTACACACTGGGGGCGGTGTACACTGCTTGGGTTATGGGTGCACCAAAATCTCAGAAAAGCACTAAAGAACTTATTCATGTAACCAAACACCATCTGTTCCCCCAAAACTATTAAAAATTTTTTTAAAAGTTTAAAAAAAATTGACTTCTTCTGCCCTGTATGTCCAAAGGGGGTGGAGTATCAATTTGAAAAGCTACCTCTGCCAGTTTTCAGTGTTTAATGAAGAAGGTAATTGAAGGATTTTAATTACCTAGAGGAATTAATTTCTATTTATAGGACATAATCATTTTTGGCAGGATTCTGGGAAACCCAGCGCAAAGACTTAAAGTTAAGAAGGGCAAGGTTGGTAAGTACAAATGCTGTCTCTTGGTAAGTACAAATGCTGACAAATCTTCATTAATTACAATGTAAAGACTCAGTACAGAGTGAATACTGTTTCTGGAAAAAAAAAACCTGTTAACCCCAATGACATCAAATTAAAAACCTTCTTTGAGGTGAGTGATGAACAACAACATAATAATAATAATACCAATGAAAGAGTCTTAGGCCAGGGCAAGTTTAAAGTTTTTCTAAAGTTTGTCAATTTATTTTTTTATTATCCATTTGCATATTCTACCAGTTTAGATAAATGAAGGTGGTATGCACAATGAAAATGGTGAAAAATGTGCCGGGTGCAATGGCTCATGCCTGTAAACCCAGCACTTTGGGAGGCCAAAGTGGGCAGATCACCTGAGGTTAGAAGTTCGAGACTAGCCTGGTCAACATGGTGAGACCCCCATCTCTACTAAAAATACAAAAAAATTAGCCAGGTGTGGTGGCAGGTGCCTGTAGTCCCAGCTACTTGGTAGGCAGGCTGAGGCAGGAGAACTGCTTGAACCTGGGAAGTGGAGGTTGCAGTGAGCTGAGATCATGCTACTGCACTCCAGCCTGGGCAACAGAGTGAGACTATCTCAAAAAAAAAAAAAAAAAAGGCCATTTGTTATAAATCAAATTATTTGGCCAGTGAAAGGGGGTGCTGAGTGGCTGAGAAGCTCAGAAGGAACTCCCAAGGAAGGAAAAGAACAAGACTTAAAATAGTTATGAATAAAGGGACAATAGACGAAAAAAAAATTGGCTTTTTAAAAACCATTATTGGCCAGGCTTGGTGGCTCACAGCTATAATCCCAGCACTTGGGGAGTCCAAGGTGGGTCAGGAGATTGAGACTACCCTAGCCACCATGGTGAAACCCCGTCTCTACTGATATACAAAAAAAAAAAAATTAGCCATGCATGGTGGCAAGTGCCTGTAGTTCCAGCTACTCAAAGTAATAATAATAATAATAATAATAATAATAACAAAGTAAATAAAAACTGTTATTTGGTAAACCAAAATCTTTTACTATCTCTACTTCATAAAAGCATTTTTTTTTTTTTGAGATGGCGTCTCTCTCCGTCGCGAGGCTGGAGTGCAGTGGCACGATCTCAGCTCACTGCAACCTCTGCCTCCCAGGTTCAAGTGATTCTCCTACCTCAGCCTCCCAAGTAGCTGGGACTACAGGCGTGCACTACCATGCCCAACTAATTTTTGCATTGTTTAGTGGAGACGGAGTTTCACCATGTTGACCAGGATGGTCTCGATTCCTTAACCTCGTGATCCACCCGCCTCAGGCTCCCAAAGTGCTGGGGTTACAGGCATGGGCCACCATGCCTGGCCTAAAAGCATTGTTTAAAACAGAAAATAAAATTTTACCCTTGCATTATTGTTATTAATATTGAAGCAAATTTTGATAAAACCTGAAAATTTTTTTTCTTGAAAATCCTTTTTTTAAAAAAAAGCATTTTGACAGTTGAGCAGCTTGTGAAAAAGAAAACAAAATAAATGAATAAATTTTTAAAAATAAAATAAAACAAAAAGCCAAGCATATGTGTCCTAATGGGAGGTGCCCTGGAGCCTCCGGCCTCCTCTCCCTCTCCCTTGCTGGAGATTTCCTGCAGGATCTGTGGGGTGGCGAGCATCTTGCAAACCCTAGCACATCCAGCATTGGAGGCCCTGTTTTGAGGCTGGGCAGGCCTCGGAGAGCGCGGCCAAGGGGCACCCTTCTGCCTTTTTGAGAGATGGCTCCAGGCGCCCTGTTGGTGGACTTACCTGTCTGCATCAAAAGAAGAGACGTCAGTGGGATAGTTGAGGTTGTAGGCCAGGACAGTGGTGTAGTGATTGAACCCAAAAAAGTCATAGGTGCCATTGATCCTCTTCTTCTCATTCTCTGTAAATTCTGGCAGCCTGTGTGGAAGAAGCCATTAAGGGCAGGGGTTTCATGGAGAGCCATGCTTTGGGAAGACAATGTCATGGGGCTGGGGCGGGGGAGCGCTCTGAACCCCAGGCAAGTGGCCGTGACTAGGGGCAACCGGCAGGGAAGGAGAAGAGGTCCTTCAGGCAGTGCAGTAAGCACCTGCAGCTCCTCCTGCCACACTGTAAACCTAGCTTCCCTAGGTCTCTACAAGAGCCTTTGAAACCCAAGGGACCACACACACACACACACACACACATATACACACACAGTTTTAAATTTCCTTGAAACATTGACATATGCAAATTCTGATATTTAGCATCTATGACAGATTTCAAAATCAAGAGAGTACCTCAAATATATACCCAAGGCTCCTCCCCTATGTTTATAAAGTTATATCTTCTATAGTTTTTCTTCTTTTTTTTGTAATGGAGTCTCCCTCTGTTGCCTAGGGTGGAGTACAGTGGCATGATCTCAGCTCACTGAAACCTCCACCTGCTGGGTTCAAGCGATTCTTCTGCCTCAGCCTCCCAAAGTGCTGGGATTACAGGTGTGAGCCAACGCGCCTGGCCCTTGCATAATTTTTATCTCTGTATTCTACCCTTCTCAAGTTCCTCTGCTCTTGTTGGGGTTTATTTGTCTAGGCATGCCTCTTTTCTCCAACTCTAAGAATAATAATAATAATAGTAGCTTCAAGATCTTCAAGGTAGCAGGGGAAATATTTTGCAAATTGAGTATTTGACTTTGCAAACTGAGTATTTGCATTTGAACTTCTCAGTTCTCACGATTTCACTGAATCAATCTTCCCTCCCTCCTTCCCTCCCTCCCTCCCTTTCTCCCCTTCCCTCCCTCCCTTCCAGACAGGGTCTCTCTCTGTCCCCCTGGGGACACTGCACTCCCTCTGAGGTTCCCACCAGGTTCCCATGGTGTGTGCCACCATGCCTGGGTAATTTTAAAATTTTTTGTAAAGACAGAGGCTCACGGCTGGACGCAGTGGCTCATGCCTGTAATCCCAGCACTTTGGGAGGCCGAGGCGGGCAGATCACAAGGTCAAGAGATCGACACCATCCTGGCCAACATGATAAAACACTGTCTCTACTAAAAACACAAAAATTAGCTGGACGTGGTGGCATGCACCTGTAGTCCCAGCTACTTGGGAGGCTGAGGCAGAGGAATTGCTTAAACCCAGGAGGCAGAGGTTGCAGTGAGCCAAGATTGTGCCACTGCACTCCAGCCTGGTGTCTCACAACAGAGTGAGATTCTGTCTCAAAAAAACAACAACAACAACAAAAAACAAACAAACAAAAAAAAAACAAGACAAGACAGAGGCTCACTATGTTGCCCAGGCTGGTCTTGAATCCCTGGTCTCAAGGGATCCTCCCGCCTCAGCCTCCCAAAGTCCTGGGATTACAGATGTGAGCCGCAGTGCCTGGGGAACTTTGGCTTAATGGGTAGATGGAGCATTCATCAGGCACTCTGAGTGAAAAGCCTCTCTCCTGTAGAACCTGACTAATATGTACTTGTGTACAGCATGTATAGGTGATCCTGACTGCATGCACATGCTGACAGAGAGACCCAGTGCTTCTGGTTTAGGTGTGGCCCAGAGATGCCCTGCTGAGGCTTCTGACACCTTCATCTTCACCTCTCTTCTACCATTAACCTGAGGGATCAAGAACCTTCCTTCCCTGGGGTTTCTGAGATGATGGGAGAAAACTTTCAAAGCGCAGCCTCCTCATGTCCCTGATGCCTCTGCTCAGAAGCCAGCAGTGGCCTGTGGCACCAAACCCAAAGCCCTGTGCCTGGCTTCCAGGCCCTCTACCACATGGCCTCAGCCGCTTCACTGCTGTTGGGCTGGTCTCCCCACTGTTAGCTTCTGGCACTCCCCTCATTCTTACCTCTAGGCCTATCTTCACAACCCTGCCCCTTGGAAGGAATGACCTGTAATCTCCCACATTCCATCACCTGTCAAGGCCCAGCTCAGCTGATGTCCTGCCTTGTCCATGAAATCTCCTGGGTCTACCCGGCCCACCCTGATCTCATCTTCCGAGTTTTCTTTCTACTGAAGAGCCTGGGGAATGGGAATCCTTGGAGCACCGTCTTTCTAACTGTTCTGTCAGCAGCTTGAGGAGTCGACTTGCAATCCTCTCCTTCTGTGGACCCCTCCCTCTGGCCCTGGCTCGGGCAAATGGTAGACGCTCAGCAAAGTTGTGCGGATGGGCTGGACGCTCACTGGCTTTGCTGGAGATCACAGTTGACAGATAAGACCTTTAGGCATAGCCTACTCTGTGGGACTTACCCTAACCAGGCCAGGGTGTGCATTGTGAGGAGGGAGCTGGATTTTTAATCCTCAGATGGGCTATATGGGAGAGCTTGGGGGCAAGACTCAAAGGCTACATTGGAAATTCACACCTGAATCCCCCGGGTCTTGGAGTGGTGGGCGTGTTCCTGTAGGCAGTGACCCCAGCTTCTTGTTTCCACACACACCTCTCACCCCACCTGCATGATTCTGCCCCCAGCATGAGCCCGGGGGGCAGACACCTTGGCTGCAAATCTCAGCTCCATCTCTTAATTGCTGGGTGATCTTGCCCTAATCATTGTGCCTCGCTTTACTCATCTTTAAATAGAAATAAAGGTACCAACAGAAGATGGGGCCAGGTGCAGTGGCTCATGCCTGTAATCCCAGCACTTTGGGAGGCTGAGGCAAGCGGATCGCAAGGTCAAGAGACTGAGACCATCCTGGCCAACATGGTGAAACCTCATCTGTACTAAAAATACAAAAATTAGCTGGGTGTGGTGGTGCAGGCCTGTAGTCCCAGCTACTCGGGAGGCAGAAGAAATGCTTGAACCTGGGAGGTGGAGGTTGCAGTGAGCAGACATTCCAACACTGTACTCCAGCCTGGTGACAGAGCGAGACTCTTGTCTCAAAAAAAAAAAAAAAAAAAAGATGGATAAACGTTGGCTGCTGATGTTGCTACTCCTTCTTTGCCAAGAAGGGGTGGGTGGATAATAAGTAGGGGCGCTTTGGTGCAGACCACCGCCACCTGCTGGCCAAATGAGGCAAAGTACATGCCTGGCTGTCACCCACTGCCACCCACATTCACACATGAGGTGATGAAATAGGATAGGATGAGCTAGGATTTGTCTGTGGAGTGGTGTAGTGGGGTTGCTCAGAGGTGGATATCCCTGGGACAGATCTCCTGGCTGTTGTGCAAAATAATAACCATAATAGCAAACCCCTCTTGTCAAGCACATAACAGTGCCAGGTGCTGGGTTATGCTTTACATATATGATCACATTTAACTTCCCAGCGAACAAAGAAGCTCAGTCATGGTAAACTGCCTGAGACACGCCTCTGTAACCCCGATGCCCATGCCCTCACCACTGCGGGCACCAGGCCCTTACCGAGACTTGCTGAGGCCTGCAGCCAAGCTCCTTTCACGGATCCGCGTCTTCATCACCTCATTGTAATCTCCATTCTTGAAAATAGGATGTGCAAACCAGCCTCCCATGAACTGCGGGTAGGGTGAGGGAGACAGTCAGCCCAAGCATTACAGATGGGCACAGCAAGAGACAGCACCATCCCCGCTCAGAAGTGCCTGGCCTTAGAACCTCCCTTCTTTTTCCATACCCCCAGCCTAAGTCTCATCTCTGTGGCTCCTGCCTGCTGCAGCTTCAGTACTCACAGTTCTACCAGCTGAGTCTGCGCTTGCTCAGCTGCTGTTGCTCTGAGGGCAGGGCCACCTCTTCATAATTACAGCTTGACGTGACAGGAACTGACCTGGCACTACCCCTGGTGTTCAACAAATGCTTCCTGGCTGCCTTTGGAAGGGTCCCACAGAGAAGGGAGAGGCCACAAGCCTCCAGGCTCCCGGTTCCCTCTCTCCACTGAGTGGCTGAACTTCCTCATCAATGTGCCCAAGGAGCAAACAGAACATTCTGGGGAGGGCCAAGATGCAAGGCTTTCCCGACAAGGCTTTCCCAGGCAAAGCATAACTCTTCATGGGCTTTCAGAGCCCCAGAGTGGGAACTGTTTGACCTATTTTCTCTAATGATATCTATGCCATCCTTATCATGAAGGGGAATATATGGCACCCAAACACTATAATGCTGGGGGGTTTGAGAGCCTTCTTTAGTCTCTCCAAATCCTCTCCTCACCCGCTGGCTGCTGCTGGGAATATAGGGTGAGGGCAGCTTCCATTCATGGTCAGAGATGAGGCATGGAACACACATGCCCTGGTAAAGAGGCTTAAATGCGCCCACTCCAAGGTACCACACTGGATGTTTTGGTGGAAGCTGATTCTAACAGGAGATGCATCTGTCATAATCCTTGGCTGCAGTATCACAGTTCACCAGTAAGTAGCTCAATTTAATGATATGACAGCCTAACATTTCCTGACATTTGAGTTTTGATTTCAGGAAAAAAGGAAATGTTGCTCTAATTCACCAGTTCTGTGAGTCTGACATGGGGGATACATTAATTTTGTTTCAAAGCTGTTTCCCCAGCTGGCTAGCAAACCAGAAAATTAAGCTCTTCGTTGCATTTATTAATTTGACTATCTTTGTCAAGGTCTCTTGTGAAGAGTTTGGAAAACCAAGGCCCTTGGTGTTCCCCCTGAGGGAGTTATAGTGCCACAGTTGGCAGACTCTTCCACAGAGCCCAAAGTGGGAACCAATCCAGAGAGAAACACTTGCCTTTTCTTCCTGATGCAAAACGTAGAAGGCGGCACCTTCTAGCCCTTTCAGAGACTCTATGAAGGGCCAGAGGAGCTCTGCCGTGAATGAGGATCATTATTCTCCTTCTCTCCTCTTGTCAGGGGTTCAGGTGGAAATAAAGGTAGGCCACGCTGGCACCTGCTTTCTTTTTAATTAATTAATTTATTTATTTTTTGGAGATGGAGTCTTGCTCTGTTGCTGAGGCTGGGGTGCAATGGCAATCTTGGCTCCAGAGTTCTTTTGCCTCAGCCTCCTGAGTAGCTGGGACTACAGGCATGGACCACCACACCTGGGTAATTTTTTGTAATTTTAGTAGAGATGGGGTCTCACCATGTTGGCCAGGCTGGTCTAGAACTTCTGACCTCAGGTGATCCACCTGCCTTGGCCTCTCAAAAGTTCTGTGATTACAAGCATGAGTCACCATGCCCAGCTGGCTTCCTACTAATGTCTCTACTTCCTAGGGGTGAAATTCCATGACCAAAAGATGCTGTCCTTAAACTCATTGAGTTGGCAAATTAGGAGCACTAATGAGTTTCACAGAATCTAAAGCCCTTAGTTTAAGAAATATATAGGCTGGAGCAAATCAAACTAAATGGCAACACCTAAAGGTGAAGTGTGACATTGCAGTCCAGCTCTGTTAGCTACTTTAGTCCAACCAGGGAGACTGAAGGCATGGAATTTCTATGAGTTAACTTCAAACCAATGCTACAGAAAGAATTACCTGTACAAACGATTTTTAAAAACTTAAAGACAACCTAATTCCATAGACCTTATCACTTTCATCACAGCAAACTTATGAGGTAGGTAGGGCATCTCCAGTTCAAAGATGACAAAACTAAGGTACAAAAAGTTTAGATGATTTTCCCAAGTTCAGAAAATCAGGTAGTAGCAAAACCAGGCTTAGATCCTAACAATTGTTTTTTTGGGTTGGGGGTGGTCTTTCCCTGTCACCTGGAGTTCAGTGGTGCTGAAATCATGGCTCACTGAAACCTTGAACTCCTTGGCTCAAGCCCCCACCTTAGTTAGCCTCCTGAACAGCTGGGACTATAGGTGTGTGCCACTATGCTCTAGTAATTTTTCTTTTTCTTTTTCTTTTTTTACAGACAAGGTCTTTCTGTCTGTGTTGCCCAGGCTGGTCTTGAACTTCTAGCCTCAAGTAATCCTCCTACCTCAGCCTTCCAAAGTGCTGGGATTATAGACATGAGCCACCACATCCTAAATTTTTGATTCACAATCTGTTTCTATTAGACTGGAAGGAAAGATGGACAAGAGTAAGAACAAGCACCCAGAGGAAAAACAGACCTGAACATATCTCCTGGCTGCCTCCACATCCTCCTGGTTAGAGGGATCTCTGGGTTCAGCCCAGTCACTGCTGATGGTGATGGAAATCACTCCACCTTGACTGGCGCGGTACACATCGTTGTACAAATGCCAGGCCTCAGCATGAGCCTTTATTAGGTTGTGGCCAACAATGTAGGGGGCAGTGCCAGGCCCAGCAGAGATTCCTGGAAACATACACATGGACATCAACAGAGAATGGAGAGAATGGATGTCACTGAGAGTGTTAGTCCCTGCCTGCAGGTGTCCCCTCTGTTTGGGAGAAGGGATGTAGATTCTGGCATTAGGAAGATGGGAATTCAAACCCTGGCTCTCCCTCTTATTAGCTGGCTGTGTAACTTTGGGTTACAGGGTGACTCATATGTCTCAGGCAAAATACCTATAATAGAGACACCCATCACAGAATCTAAAGCCCCCAATTTAAGAAAGGCTTAGGCTGGAGCAAATCAAGTCAAATGGTGACACTTAAAGGCGAAGTGTAATGATGAATATACTAATTACTCTGATTTCATCATCACATATTATATACATGTATCAGAATATCATTTTGTACTCCATTCATATGTATAATTATTGCATATCAACTAAAGATAAAAGAAAAAAAATCCCTTTGGGTCAGATGTGTTTTATAATTAAATGTTTCCTTTGAGAAAAGTACCTAACAGGCCCATGGGCCTGGGACAGCTCTCCATAGTCAAGCACACTGACAACCTCTGCAGCAGAACTTAGGAAGGTTCACTCAGTGCCATAAACACCATGAGCGGCCTCCTGCTGGCTTGAGTCAGGTTTCACTACTATTAAATGAGCTCAGGTCAGCCAAACCAATTGTAAGAACCTTTGGGATTTGGGAATTGTGAAAAACAGACTGTAGACCTCTACAGCCTGACAAACTGTCCTTCCCCACTTCAATTTGCCCACATCTCTATCTCAGAGACCTTCCAACCTGAGGCCAATCAGAGTCACAGAGCAAAGAAATGAAGCCACCTTGAGGTATTGAGATGTGAAATTCACGTTTAGCAATGCAAAGTCAGGAGGTAAGCCTCAGCAGCTCTGAGCAAGAGGCAGGGTTTCGGCCATGGGGCTTTCTTGGCTGCCTCCTCCTGTGCCATCCAGGTTTCAACTTCCAATGTGCTAAGAATACCATGTTCCAAGGAGCCGACGAGCCAGGCCTGGGACCTACCTGGAGCTGCTGTTCCGTAGCCATAGCCCTTGTAAGCAATGACAAAGGGCTCATTCAGTGTGATCCAAAACTTCACCTTGTCTCCCAGCCTCTGGAAGAGCACATCTGCATACTCCTTAAACCGCTGCACAATGGTCTCATTCTCCCAGCCTCCTATATCCTGGAGTGCCTGCGGTAGGTCCCAGTGGTAAATGGTCACCTGGGAAGAAGCCAGATCAGCTGTTCCATCAATTATGCTTTCCATGGGAATCCCTGGGTTACCTTTGCCAGCATCAACATCTGCTGCTAATCCTGAGAGCGACTTAGACAAAAAGGTTCAAAGATTTTTTTTTTTCCTTTAGGGAAGAAGTAAATTGCTTTCAGGGAGAACCAGATGGCTGAGATCAAGGTTGGGAAGGAAACTCTTTTTATGTGTTTTGAATTCTGCATCATGTGAATTTACTAACAAAAAGTTAAATTTGAGGTAGGGCACGGTGGCTCATGCCTTTAATCTCAGCATTTTGGGAGGCTGAGGCGGGTGGATCACTTGAGGCCAGGAGTTTGAGACCACCTTGGCCAACACAGTGTAACTCCATCTCTACTAAAAATACAAAAATTAGCCAGGCATGGTGGTGCGTGCCTGTAAGCCCAGCTGCTCAGGAGGTGAGAAACGAGATCCAACACTGCACTCCAGCCTGGGGGAATTTAAAAAAACAAAAACTAAACTAAACTAAATTTGAAACCAGTATTTTGTTTACATGATAAATGCGCTCCCCCAGCTCCACTGGCTCTTGCATGCAGACTTTCCCAAGGCCTGGCCAGGGCCAACCGTACCTGTGGCTGGATGTTGGCGGCCAGCAGTGCGTTGATGAGCTGCACATAGTAGTTCAGGCCCGCTTCATTGATGTACCTGGTGGTTCCATCAGGGAGGATGCGAGACCAGGAGATGGAAAAACGGTAGTGGGACACGCCCATGTTCTGCAGGGTGACCAGATCCTCAGCAAGCTTGTGATAACTGTCACAGGCCACGTCTCCAGTGGCATCATCCTCAACCATCAGTGGTGTGTGAGAATATGTGTCCCAAATGCTGAGTCCTTTGCCATCTGCTCTCCACGCACCTTCGATCTCAAAGTGATAAGACATGGTCTAATTAGGTCATTCAGTCAAGCACTCACAAGTTCCTTTCTGCCACTGGGTGAGTCCCAAGTCAGGACGCTTCCCAGCATCACCTCCTCTGGGAGTCTGCTCTGGCCCCCCGCCCCCTCAGTCTCGGCACTCTCCCAGCTTTCTCTACACATATGGCGTGGCCACTCCTCCACAAAGACAGACATAGGCAGAAGATGGAAAGCAAGAACCACCAGTAACTGCCAGGCAAGTTGCTCTTACCTTTTTGTATTCCATTTTTCTGGGAAAAAATAAAACCATCCTATTTTCTGTATGAGTGAGCCTCATTTGGCATGAATATGGTAGCAATGTGATATTGTTAGGGCATCAGAATAAGCTCAGGCCCACGCTGAGAGCCAAAGTGAACAAACTGCCAGCCTGGAAGGATCTAGCTGAGGAATAAAAGGGTCCAGCAGGGACTCGTCAGTCATGGGCTATAGAACAGTGTTTTAGTCAATGCTGGACCTGATAAATGATGCTGGTCACATAAGATTATAATGGAGCTGAAGGCCGGGCACAGTGGCTTACACCTGTAATACCAGCACTTTGGGAGGCCGTGGCAGGCAGATCAAGACGTCAGGAGATTGAGACCATCTTGACCAACATGGTGAAACCCCATCTCTACTAAAAATATTTAAAAATTAGCTGGATGTGGTGGTACGCATCTGTAGTCCCAGGTGTTCGGGAGGCTGAGGCAGGAGAATTGCTTGAACCCAGGAGGTGAAGATTGCAGTCAGTCGAGATAGCACCACTGCACTACAGCCTGGGTGACAGTGCAAGATTCCATCTCAAAAAAATAAATAAATAAACAAACAAAAAGATTATAATGGAGCTGAAACATTCCTATTGCCTAGTGCTGTTGTAGCCATCGTAATGTCATAGAGCACTACATTATTCATGTTTGTGGTAGTGCTCTTGTCAATAAACCTACAGTGTGGCCAGCAATATAAAAGTATAGCACATGCAGGCCAGGTGCTATGGCTCACACCTGTAATTCCAGCACTTTGGGAGACTGAGGGAGGAGGATCACTTGAGGCCAGGAGTTTGAGACTAGCCCTAGCAATATAGCAAGATCCCCGTCTCTACAAAAAAATTAAAAAGTTCATTGGGTATGGTGGAATGAGCATGTAATTCCAGCTTTCCACTGGAAAGACTGAGTGATCCTCGGCTCAGCCTCCCGAGTAGCTGGGACTACAGGCACATACCACTACACTTGGCTAATTTTGTTTTGTAGAGATGGGGTTTTGCCATGTTGCCAGGCTGGTTTTGAACTCCTGGACTCAAGCGATCCTCCCACAGCACTGGGATTGCAGGCATGAGCCACTGCACCCAGACCAATGTGCTTGTTTTAAGGTAAACATCGCAAAAGAATAAAAAAGTTAAAAAAATTAAAGTAAAAATGTTACAGTAGGCTAAGGTTAATGTATTATTGAAGAAAGGCATTTAAAAAATAAATTTAGGCCGGGCGCGGTGGCTCAAGCCTGTAATCCCAGCACTTTGGGAGGCTGAGACGGGTGGATCACGAGGTCAAGAGATGGAGACCATCCTGGCCAACATGGTGAAACTCCGTCCCTACTAAAAATACAAAAAAAAAAAAAAAAAAAAATTAGCTGGGCATGGTGGCGTGTGCCTGTAGTCCCAGCTACCCAGGAGGCTGAGGCAAAAGAATTGCTTGAACCTGGGAGGTGAAGGTTGCAGTGAGCCGAGATCATGCCACTGCACTCCAGTCTGATACCTGGTGACAGAGCGAGACTCTATCTAAAAATAAATAAATAAAATGAAGTTAGTGTAGCCTAAGTGTGCAGTATTCATAAAGGCCACAGAAGTGTACAGTAATGCCTTCCTATTCACTCACCCCTCACTCACTGACTCACCCAGAGCAACTTCCAGTCCCTCAGGCTCCATTCATGGTGAATGCCCTGTTCAGCTTTTATACCTTATTTTTATTACGCCTTACTACATTTAGACACACAAATACCACCATGTTACAAATGCCTATAGCATTCAGTACAGTAACAATCTGTACAGGTTTGTAGTCTAGGGGCACTAGTCGATACCATGGTGTGTAGTATGCTACACTATCTAGGTTTGTGAAAGTGCACTCTGTGTGATGTTCACACAACTATGAACTCGCCTAATGTCACATCTCTCAGAGCAAATCCCTGTTGTGAGTGAAGCATGACTGTATTTACATGTCTTTGTCCAAGTGCTTCTGCCCAGGCTCCCCCTGCTCTATCTGGCATCTCAGGACAGCCTGCCTCACCATGCTGGTCTGGCTAAATTTGGGGCTGTGAAGAAGGTAGGCTGTCTGGAAGAGGCCCTCCCAGACCCCACACTGCCCTCCATGGGTCTGCTGGAATCTCCTGTTCATGCATCTGCCCTTCCCAGCAGTAAGCCTAGAGCCTGGTGCAGGGCAGGTGTGCGGTCAATGGTGTCCCACCACCCTGAACTCCTCACCTGATATGCAGCAGAAGCCGCACTCCAGATGAAGCCCTCAGGAAACCATCCATACACAAACTCATCCTCCTTGGGCAGTGGCATGCCATTGTTGGTAATCACCTCTGTGTAGTACCTGGCAGAGGCTCTTGCTGTGCGAGGCCTGTTCGTGTTGTTGAAATCAACACGGTACAGTCCAAACTTGACTGTGTAGCCATTCAGCCACTCAAAGCTGTCCATCAGAGACCAGGCGACATACCCTCGAAGGTCTACACCATCGAGCCTGTAGGCTGGGAACACCCCAAAGAAAGCAGAGGAGAGCTTGACACCAGGAGGCAGGACCTCCATGCAGCCAGCCTAGTGCTAGCTCCACACCTCAAGGCTGTCATCCTAAAAGTGACATGCTGTGAGAGACCAACAGATCATCTGTTGATCTTACTTTTTTGCCATCACTATGGCCCCACAGCAAGCATTAATGACTGATCATCTCCAAATCGAATTCTTCTGTTGGGGTAAAGGAACATGCATCAAATTCAAGAGCCTCAGCCCACTTAGGAAGTTAAGCCCAATGCACCTATAGTGTCAGCAATCGGGGAGGCTGAGGCAGGAGAATTGCTTGAACCTGGGAAGCAGAGGTTGCAGTGAGCTGAGATCGCACCATTCCATTCCAGCCTGGGTAACAGAGTGAGACTCTGTCTCAAAAAAGAAAAAAAAAATGATCAATGAAACAAAAAGTCAATTTTTAGGCTGGCGCGGTGGCTCATGCCTGTAATCCTAGCACTTTGGGAGGCAGAGGCAGGCAGATCACTTGAGATCAGGAATTTGAAACCAGCCTGGCCAACATGGTGCCACCCCATCTCAACTAAAAATACAAAAAAATTAGCCGGGCACAGTGGCCACTGCACTCCAACCTGGGTAACAGGGCAAGGATCCTTATCAAAAAAAAAAGAAAAAAAAAAAGGAAGTTAAGTCCCGAAATGTGAACTTACACAAGTTTCTCATTCTGGGGTGCATGGGATAAGCTCTATGAAGGCAGAAATTTGTGTTTTGTTCACTGCTGTAACCCCAGCACCGAGAATAGAACTTGTCACAGTAGTTGCTCAGTAATGAATGAATGGGCCCAAGACAATATAAATACTCTGCCAGGAACCCTGTGTGTGTTGTGTTTGTGATTTTCCTCTACAGAGACAACCACAGCCATTTTTCCTCCAGCTTCTCAAGGAACACATAACTCCCAAACAGATAAAGAGTTATGGAGTTGGGACGTAAGACAGAGACAACTATAGCCTTTCCCCCCAGCTTCTCAACGAACATATAACCCCCAAACAGATAAAGAATTATGGAGTTGGGACCCAAGAGAAAGACTTGTGGATGGTTCATAAATCATTCTGGCAAACCATTTCCAGCACATGACCCAGGGAATGTTGAAAGGTTTCTTTAAGGGGAACTGAACCCTCATATACCTTTCAAAGCCTCATTGATGTAGGTTTTGTGGTAAAATATCCTATCGGTATCCTCCTCTTCTGGATTGGTCAGCCCCACTCCGTTTTCGGTGATATAAATGGGGATGTCACCATACTCTTCCTTGATCCAGTTCAGCAGCCTTCGCATCCCCCAGGGCGCAGCTCTGTTCACTGCTGTGGAAGGCCATGAAGGGTCCTCCTCCTTGGTCATCTCCTGGTCATCTTCATAGGACGGTGGGTTTAGCCTGGGTGTTCTGTACTGCACAATTCTGGAGGAGTAGGTGCTGAGGCAGAATATGTCAGCCGTTGCGCTAATGAACCTCTTCTCTTCCTCAGTGAAACTTGGCAGGCGGGAGCTGGCTAAGTGCTGCAGTTCACTCCTGTTCCCCACTTTCCACTTCATGGCATCAGGATAGTCTCCGTTTTTAAAAATGGGGTGTGCAAACCAGCCCAGAGAGAACTGCAGCATTCGGTCAGCAGCTTCCACATCTCTGGGGACTCCCAGTGACTTGGGTTCTGCCCAGTGTGTACTGAGGCTCACAGAGATGACCCCTTTCTGCTCCTGCCTGTATTTCTCATCGTATGTGTGATAGACTCTGGCATGGGCTTTGATAATGGCGTGTCCTATCCTATACGGTGCCCAGCCTGGGTCCTTCACCCCTGGGGGAAACTCCCCTGAGCCATAACCCAGCCATGCCAGATACATGGGCTCATTAAAAGTCATCCAGAACTTGACTCTGTCACCAAAGGTCTGGAAACAAAAGTCTGCATAGCTGTCAAACAACTCGATCAAAACAGGATTCTCCCAGCCTCCAATATCCTGGAGGGCCTGGGGCAGGTCCCAATGGAACAATGTCACCATGGGAAAGATGTTGCTTGCCACCAAGCCATCGATCAGCCTATTGTAATAATCAACCCCATGACTATTGATAGAGCTGTTTCTCCCAGTTGGGAAAATCCGAGACCAGGAGATAGAAAAGCGGTAAGCCTTCACCTTCAAAGCTCGGAGCATATTCAGATCGGCATCCAGCTGGTGATAGCTGTCACAGGCAATGTCTCCAGTGGCACTGTCTTTCACATTGCTCCCTGGTGTGTGGGTAAAGTTATCCCAGATGCTGGGGCCTTTGCCATCGGCATCCCACCCGCCTTCAATCTGATAAGCAGAAGAGGACACGCCCCACAGAAAGTCATCCCGAAACGTCCCATGGTAGAACAAATCTCTGTCGAACTTGGGTTGGCTGGAGAACTTTTCCCAAACCACTTTTGCTTTGGAGGGTACCTCAGATGGAAAAGTTAAGGCTCTGACTTTGGAGGGGAGGTTTGCTGTATTAGGTGGGGGCAGTCTTTTTGCCACCTTGGTGAGGAAACCGTTCTTTTCTATAATGCTGGTGAAAAAGTAGGCAGATTTCCTGGGAGTCCTTGACTTGCTGCTGTCGTTGAAGTTGACATGGTGCAGGCCAAACCTCTGGCTGTAACCAGAGGGGCCTTCAAAGCCGTCAATGAGGGAACGAGCAATGTAAGAACGAACATCCACGGAGTCTTCCTTGATAGCTGTGAAGAAAAACAAAAATTAGATGTATTTATTTATGGATCTATTTAACTGAGATGAGGTCTCACTGAGTTACCCAGGCTGATCTCAAACTCCCAGACTCAAGTGATTCTCCCAAGTCGCTGGGACTGACTATAGGAGTGAACCAGTGCACCACTTTTATTTATTTATTTATCTTTTAAAGACTAGCCAGTGCATTAGTGAGAAGGGGGAGAAGAGTTCTAGAAGCCGTTTGATCTGTAACTGGTTGTGAACAATCAATTAAGTTATTACCTTGGACCAGCAAGGACATTCAATAAAATAGTTTTTATTGAAAAATTAGAAATACAGTCTTTGTTACTAATGATGCTTTTAAAAAGTGTTCCTTTTCACATGAAAGTTTTGGAGGTGACTTGGGTTACCTCCCAAATGTTCACCCCTTTTCCTCCTCAAAATGGAGAAAAGGAAAATCCACAAGACCCTCACAAAACATGAGGCCACTTCTATGGCCATAAATCTCAAACCAAAGGAGGATCTCCATCTTAAAATGAATAGTGGAAGGGATATGTCCTGTGTGTTACCACTAGGATGTCTTGGTTTTATGTAGAATACATAAATCAATCTTCTTTTGTGTGTGTGTGTGTGAGCAACATGGCTATTTATTCACCCGGGTGCAGGCAGGCTTGTGTCTGAAAAAGACCATAAATCAATCTTCTAACAATGTGCTTTTGTTTTTCCTTGTTTATGTTTAGTAATATTGACATTAAATGATGATGTATTTCATATTTTAAAAAAGAATTAAACCAGCCTGGGCAACATGACCAGACTCCATCTCTATTTAAAAAAAAAAAAAAAGAAAAAGAAAGAAAATTAGCCTGGCATGGTGGCGTGCACCTATAGTTCCAGCCACTTGGGAGGTTGAAGTGGCAGGATTGCTTGAGCCCAGGAGGTCAAGGCTGCAGTGAGCCGAGATCATGCCAGTGTGCTCCAGCATGGGCACCAGAGCAAGACCATGTCTAAAAACATAAAAATTAATATAAAGAAATAAATAAAGCCTAAAACATGTATTCCCTGGCACAGTTCATTGAATGGTGGCCCCCAAAAGATATACCTAAATTCTGGCCAGACACGGTGACTCACACCTGTAATCCCAGCACTTCTGAGAGGCTGAGGCGGGTGGATTACCTGAGGTTGGGAGTTTGAGACCAGCCTGACTAATAAGGAGAAACCCCATCTCTACTAAAAATATACAAAAATTAGCCAGGCATGGTAGTGCATGCCCATAATCCCAGCTACTTGAGAAGCTGAGGCAGAAGAATCGCTTGAACCCGGGATGTGGAGGTTGCCATGAGCTGAGATTGCATCACTGCACTCCAGCCTGGGCAAGAAGAGCAAAATTCTATCTAAAAAAAA